ACTGTCCCCTCCCCCCACCCCCAAGCCCCTCTAGTAATTTTTTTAAATCCTATACTTACCTTTTTTTTGTAGAAGTCTAATTACTGGTCCATGACATCATCCCAGGATTCCTCTTCTTCTTCCAGCGATGATGGGTGGGGGGACGTCTTCCTTTTAGGATAGTGCTCATAAAATTATGTGAGTGCCACGTAGTACTTAAGTACTGTGAATCCAGTGTGGGTGATGACACATCCCCTGGGGGGTAAACAACAGACTGGGCTAACAGGAAATGGGCACAGAGTCATTCTGCCCTGAAAAGGACTGCCAGTGCTGGACAGAGGAGCAAGCTGGGACAATGCTAAGGCATGGCAAGGGTAGATAAAAATTAGGAATTTTTTTTAACATGGAGGGGAGATGGAAAAAAAAACCCCTGGAGTCCCATTTTAATAGATATAAATGAAGAAGTTGTATAGTGATCGCCAGGTCATTCAAAAGGCAAAATAGGTAGGAGCCTAGGGCCAAGTGGATGTCCTGGGGGCCCAGCTACAACCTTAATGCTGCTGCAGTAAACCAGGGGAATAGGGTGGTTTGTCAAAGCTGTGCACTTGCCTCCCACATGACAGGGGTGAATGCTCTTGTAAGCAGTTGTTGTCTAATGGAGTCATTCTAATACAGACAGTGCAAATGTGGTGGTTTCTCTGTGCCGATTGGAATGCTTATCGGTGTTATTTGAAGGCATGGGAGGCCAAACTGCTACCTTGTCTAGTTCCCTATTCTGCATTAACCTGTTCCTGCTGGCAGACTATTCCAAACATGAAACAGGCTGCCAGGTCCCATACATTCATTCAGAGTTAATCATGTTGTTTGTGAGATATCAAAGTCTGATTCGTTTTATTGATTTTTATTTTCTCAGGGCCATCGCTACACCTGTGGCCAGAGCCATGGGGATAAAGAGCATAGTCCGACTAAAAGCGTCATTTAATCCAATCCTGGAAGATTTTTATATCACCTCCTCCAAACACCCATCTCAGGTAAGTTCACTTGTTTGCCTTGTCAGTTTATTATGTTGCTGTTGTACAATAAATGTTTCATGTAAAAAAAAAAGAGTAAATGAAATAGAGCTTTTGATCAAAGGTGGCCAGAACATTATTATTATTACATAGTATTTATATAGCGCCAACAGTTTGCGCAGCGCTTTACAATTTAAGGAAGACATTACAGTTGCAATACAATTCAAGACAAGATGGTAAGGAGTGTCTTTCTTTGTTCCTTGCTTGTATTGGTAATGAGACCTCTACACAGCTTCATAATCAAGGGGATTAAAGGAGAACTATGGGGTCAGGGCTTTTCCCCATAGTTCTCCTAAGGGTAGCAGGATTGAGAAGTGAGCGAGCGACGGTATGTGTTCGATCACTTCCCGATCTATTGAGCCGGCGTGTGACAGTTCCATTGTAATAGGTCGGCTCGAACTATGAGGCTGAGTGATTTTCACTCGCCTCATAGTTCTCCTTTAAGTTGCTTTTGATTTGACCTGTTGCTAGCTTGATGATATGGCTACGTACACCGGACTAGCAAATGTAACCAGTTATCAAACACCTACTGGATTTTCTAGGCATTTGATAAGTTTGTTACTAAGAATTTAGGGGAACACTTGAGAGTCATCCTAAATGCTTGCAAAAAATGCATTTGAAATATTTGGAACCAATTTTCATTTTGTCCAGTGTAGACAGATGTTTGTTGCGGGTGGAAGTGGTTTCAGGTAGCAAAGGACTGCAGAATGCTACAGCAAACGCCTCGAAGACTGCTTCTCAAATACCTGCATGTGATCCGTCCAATTCATGTAATGTAGAGGGTGGTTGGCTGGTTGCATACGGTTTATCTCAATAGTTCATACATACTCATCGGAAAGCTCTGCTTCAAAATCAAAACCCTTTCATATATCAATAACGGAGATAACAGGTCAATGGTCAGGATAAGCACAGACAAGCTTGGCACAAATGCAATGCAAACAATCCACAGGAATAATACAGGGTTTAAACCTACAAGGGTCAGAGAGGACAGGTGTCGGGCCACATGAGGGGGGAGCAGCCATCTTGGGTGCTTTCAGGAAAATATAGTAGGGTCAGTTTTAGAGAGGAGTCCATTAACCTATCAGCATGTCTTTGGAATGTGGGAGGAAATCCAAGTACCCAGGAAGGATAAATGGAGGTGGTAGGAAACACATGCAAGCACAGGGTTAACATGCAAACTTCACACAGATAGTGTCCTGGTCAGTATTCAAATCGAGGACCCCAGTGCTGCAAGACAGAAGTACTAACCACTAAGCCACTTATATTATATTAAATCATTACATCAAAGTAGAATATGTGCCATATTAGCAGTTAATCACATTGCAGTACTACCTACTACCTTTTCAGAGTGTAAAGCCGGCCATACACTGCTCAATTTTTTTCAGTTCAACCTGCGGGCTATGAGTGCGTTGATCAAGGAATACCCAGTTTCTTTTGTATTCTGACAGCGGCCGCTCATTGGCTGCCGGCCATGTTCGTGCAAAGATTTGCAACGGGCTCCTAAGATCAGCTGATCATGGGATGCCGGCCGAAAGGATGCCAGCAGCGTCACCCACTGTGTGAATTCCGTCCGATTCCTCGAGAACTGGCCGAAATTCGCACAGTGTATGGTCACCGGAAGTGAAATTATAACAACTCTGTACCAGTAATTATAAAAAATCAATTAAAATGATCTATGCTATGATCTATCAGCCTGCTGAAGTTTCAAGGATAACTTTGCACAACTGCCACAACCTTTTTATTCCCATGGAAGGTTAATATTCATGACTGTCCCGATTATGGACAATCTATAGTAATAAAGAGGGCCATGGTGCGTGTGCACACTAGGAAGAGGAACCAGGCAGAATGTTTTGTTTGCAAAGGCTGTGAAGTGTTGAGCAGGACCGCATAGTGAACATCACAGGAATGGGGATTAAGGTAAATATGTCTCCATAGAGAGTCAGTTGGATGGCTTAGGAATGTACTTCCTTAAGCATACATTGCGTTATTTCCTCTTTTACTGCTTCTTATATCATTCTTTCTCAAACTAAGTCTAAAATGTAAAACGCTAAATGTAAAAAATTATGTGTGGCTCCTCCAAATTCCAGACCAGATCCTAATTTCAGATAGGAATCTGGTATGGATTTTAAGAGGGGACCCCATACAAAAGCACAAAAATGTGGAATTCTTCCATTCAAATCTGGAAGTTCCCTTCACTTGAGAGCCCCTCTTCACATCAGGAGCTGCCATTCCTCATTCACACCAGAAGCCCCCTTGATATTAGAGTTCCCAGTCCCTCCTTTACATCAGGGTGCTCAGTCCCTCCATGTCAAAATCCTCAGTCCCCCCTTTACATCAGGATTCCACCATTGCATGGTTACAGCAGCATGGCAGAGGGTGGGAGGTGAGGCAGGCCTGGACGAACCTAACCTCTGGATTTGACCCTCTGACTGGATCCCACCCTCCGTGGATAAGCGTCATTCGTTTCCATGGCGCTGGTGTTTGGCATGACTGCACCATGGAAAGACATGATACTATTCAAGCATTTTGAGGCACATTGAGAAAACTAAAGGGCACCTTGAGGTGCAATGGCACCCTGGTTGAGAAAGACTGTCCCATATCACTAATCACATTTAGACTTCCAAATAAGTTTTGATGTTCGTGAGAAACCTCTTCTGGAGTTTTTTACATTAAAATGTCTGTATGTGATAGTCAGCGTGTAGAGTGTGCATCACCACTAGCAGGTATATTCCAGGGTAACCAGAATACAGACAAAAGGGACTAGAGTGGACTGGTGTACTAAAGCATGTATGTATGTCTGGACAAAACACTGAAAGTGACACTAAACATAGGAGTTAAATCTTAAAATGTTTTCAAATACCTTAGCTAGTAACATAAATGTATCTTATTTGTGTATCACTCGGCTGTAGATCCTCAAATCATCTCTGAATTGGTGCTGACACTGTCCATCCTTCTGGAGAGTGACTTTTGTTCCCCATGGTCCCTGTGTGTGTTGTATAGTAGCCACAGCTCCAAGCTCACTCCTGTAAAGTACTTAAATGCATTTTTAAAATTTTATATGTAATTTTATTACTTCATCAGCAGGTAGGCTATGCTCCCTGTAATCTCAAGGTTTCATTTTGAATTTTGGAGTGTACCTGTAAAGACCAGCTCAACTCCATACTGCTTTTCAATTGTGTAAATCACATGCTGGCTCTTTATGTCATTCAGGGACTCCTCAGGCAAGATATCCCCACCTGAATGAATTTTTTTACACTGAACTGCACTGGTCACTAAAACGCCAAATAATAATGTTACTCATCTGAAAAGGTCTCCATAATACTATATAATATAAACCAATGATCTGGTCCTTGCTAAGAGAGTGACACCTCTGGCCTTTAATAAATTGGTTGCAATCCCAGTGTTGCATTTAATCTCTTGAATGGATAGGCTGCATTCTCAGAGATGTCACTGATCTCTAATGTAGGATACACTACATTCAATGGAATTTTACTGGTCTCTAATAAATTCATAGACTTCATTCTTGGTGAGTTCTCTGCTTTCTAATTAGTGGATTTGGTCTTTAATTTATGGATAGGTTGCATTCTCAGGGAATTTACTAGTCTGCAATGAGTGGATAGACTGCTATCTTTTACAGTCTTAAAGAGAAGGGCATGTGATACAAAAGGTAATAAATGTGAGGGATGAGATGATGGAGAAAATAAAAGTACAATTTGTAGGAGGCAGGATAGGCTTCCCTGAGTAGATGGGTTTTCAGGGATTGCTTAAAGGCAGACAGAGTAGGAGATAGACGAACATATTAGGGGTAGGGAGTTCCAGAGAAAAGGAGAGGCTCTAGAGAAATCCAGGAGGCACATATTGGAGGAAATAATGGGGGGCTAGAGAGATTTTGGGAGAAGCGGAATGAATGGTTTTGGGTGATATTTTGAGATGAGGTTAGTAATGTAGCAAAGGACAAAGTTGTGGATGTTGTTGTAAGTATTTTAAATTGTATATGTTTTGGTTATTGGAAGCCAGTAGAGGGATTGGCAGAGAGGAATGTTGGCCACTGAAGGGTTGGTAAGGGGTGGTGGTAAGTGATTTACAGCTCTGTATTCAGTTAAGCTGTATTCTGAGGGACTTCACTTGTCTCTTATAAATGGCTAGGCTGCATTCTGGGGGGTTACTGCTCTCTAATGCATAGTTAGGGAATTCTCTGATTCTAGAATGAATAGATAAGCTGCATTCTCTGGGAATTAATTGGTCTGTAATGAGAGGATAGGCTGCATTTTCTGAAAAGTTACTGATCTCCAATGATTGGACAGATGGAATCCTAGCAAATGTATTGCGTGGATAGGCTGAATTTTGGGGGGATTTACTGGTGTCTAGTCAGTGGCTACATTCACACAATGTTATTTGCCTCTAATGAATAGATATACTGCATTCTCAGAGGTATTGCTAGTCTGAGTGGATGTGTTGCAGTCTCACTGGTTCCATAAGTCCCCTAAGGGCTCATCACACATTACCTGCATGACAATACATGCGCTGCAAAGAGTCTTATTAAGTTTCGAGCCACACTATATTTCTGTGCAAATTCAATTCTAATGTGCCACAGAACAAGAAGAAACCAGCTAGCAAAAGGGACAAAGATCCAACAAAGTGCACAGCTGAAGGCAGAAGACAAGAAAGAGAGAGTCAAGGAAACAATCTATCTACCCAACAATCTGACAGCCCTGATGCCATTTAAAAAAGGCCGCCTCCTGCTTCTAGTATTTGCCCCCCTCACCTAAATAGGCAAACAGCAAATGTGTGTGCGCTCTGAGATTTGGAGAAAGGCGGCGTGGAGGTGGTGCCAAATACGGGGGATATGATATGCACACAGGCTGAAAGGCATGGAATGAGAGAAACACCATGTGTAAACCAGGGAGAGAAGAAGGAATCTAAAGAAATAGCGGGACAAAGTTGTGCAAAGGAAAGACAAG